ATAATATGTAACTGCATTGCTGACAAATTGGTAACAATGTCACGGAACGGAATAATTCAACATTATATGACATCAACGTATCTTTTGAATGACTTTCGTTACATATTATGTTACTTCTGTGTTATGTAACTGTTACATAGTGTGCTTGATGGGTGCAGGCGAAATTTAATCTCGGGTGGTTGTGTCCTATCATAAACCGTTTCGGTAGAGCTCAATTGCAAATCAGACTTTCGAAAGTCCGACTTTCACTTTGGTAACGACCAATCCTCCGATTTCACACTTCTTTATTTAGGAAGGCTTATTTCAAAATTCGTTGACAATGTTTCCGTTCAAGTGTGTTAAAAGTGTGCTCTCGCTCTGACAATTTATTAAAGAGAAAATTTTCGAAATTCAGATCTGAGAGCAAAACACTTTCGGATGAAAACGTAATTCTCAGTGGAAATGTATCTATCTACTATCAGTTGCATAAATTACCTGCTGTGTAGTACATCCCGGGTAACAATGCATCTATTAATGTCTTTACAATATCTAATCATGGTATCGGTTAGTGTGTTATCTCGAAAATCACTCGTGACTACAATATAAACGTCGCTTTTGGTTATTTTGGATACCATTGATTGTGCGATGGGCTCAACACTGACTTCGCGCCGTTCCGCTCGATTTTGCCCGCAGTAAACGTAATTCTTATAAGACGAGTAAACGAGCGTCGCGATAGCGTTCAATTCCTACGGCTTTTGGGCATCGGGTCACCAACGATTTTGAGATGTTACCTATCGAGGACCAACAAGAGATTCTCCCAACAAGGACCTCTCTTTTTCCCACGAATACCAAGACGTCCGCTACACATTAAATTCATAACAATGCACGAATAAATTAAACCAACATTTCCAGTAAGTTGTAAATATACTAATTTCCATACGAAGCCTCTTAAAAACGTCCATTAATTGGCGAACTCTCTAAGATGGTTAATTATTGGTGCAAGCGCAATCTAACGCAGGGCAACCGAGGATTCTGTAATACGCTCTAATCAACGAGGAATTCCTCTATATAAATAATATTGATAGAAACAAACAGGAGTAGAATAAATGAAATGCCGTTTTATAAAGGTGTCGGAAAGATGTAGATCTCCCAGAGGAGACTGTCTTGACCTATCGAGATATTCCTGCGAAATGCGTAATCATTATTTTACGACCGTACCGGGATACCTTAATGACAAAGAAGTTGTAGGATTCCTTGACAAGGAACGTGTAAAAGTCAACAAGGCGAGTTTCTCCTCGTTATCCCTGCCATTTTATTCAGCAAAAGTGTCAATATAACGTGTTATAGAATGTAATAGTATATCGATAAGTACTACATATCTTACAGAAACCTCAGGTGTCCTTAATGTCGACCATGTTGGTCCTCCTTACGTTTAACGTGCAGCGGGTCTAAGTTCCCGCCAGAGTTCCTTCAGCAAGAGATCAGCAAAGATACTTTACCAAATGCTTAAAAAAAAAAAAAAAATAATAAGAAATATACGAAAATGTAGGTGAACAAAAGGTCGAAATAAAAATTCGTTCTTCCACCGTTTGACTATTCAACCTCTTGAAAGGTTACTTGGCCTCTGGATACTCTTCACTTTTCGTAATTACTCGAACGCGCTCTTTTTCGTTCGATGGTCTCTCGTCAAAGCGCTTCTTTTAAATGCGAGTCGAGGGCGACACGGCGCGGCCGATTTTCATCCTAGGACAAATCTGCATTCCGACGCACAACGGCTAGGTTTCTTCTTTATTCTCTATTCTCACTGGAAAAGTGTAGGCGCTCTTAATGGCCCACATACCCGTATACCACCTTATATATCACCGATACACAGGGTACATGAATGTGTAGTGCGCGTAATTTGGCCTGTACGCGCGATTAGACTTGTCATTCTAATGTCAGTCGCGTGCGATTAGGCGACTTTCGAGCGCAGCTCGCGATTGTGCGCATTTCGAGGCGAGAGGGTGCGTCGGTGCGAATTCCGAGGGTGCAACTTGAGAAAACCCTCCGAGGGCACAAACTTTCCACTGACATTTTCGATAAATGATAATTACAATCAATCCGCCCGGAAATGAAAAGAAACGAGCTAGGGGTGATTTTATATGTGAATCACAGGGTGGATGTATATGTATCTCGAACGGTGCTAAATCGACCCCACTTCGAGGATGTATAGATCCGCGATTAATAATCATATTTTAATCATATATATATATTCAAATGATTCCGTCACTTTAGACGTTTGATACTCTTTAGCCGCATCACTTCGAGCTTCCCATTGTATATATGAATTGTGCACATGGAAATTCCCGTTTGCGGAGAAACTGCCGAAATTGTCACAGAATGTCCGTGAGGGGTTTGTGCCGTCAAAGTGCGGACGCGCTCAACTATAATCGTACAGGTAAGTCTACCGAACGAGTATCGCCTTTTACAAAGGATCATTTTGCGTAATTACACTGATATTCATTAAGCTGTCCATTGGTTCTCGCTTAATATCCACGGTAATGGTTTTGTGTCCTCTTATGACTATCGAAGGTCTGAACTGATACACCCACACTTCATGCCTAAAGCGAGTCTCTTTAACGATTCGTCGCCATTTCCAACCCGCGAAACGCACGCGGATCCATAACGAAAGTATTCCCCTATATGCAGGGTGCGAACAATGATTCCGATTAATAGGTTTAAATAACCCAGGCGAGAAGATTTTCATTCGCTCAAAAGATGAGTGAACGTCCTCCGGTTTCGACCGACCTGATCGGTATTGAGAAGAAACTTTTAGAAGTTCTTTTAAGTCTACGAAGTTCGTTGGGTCTCCCGAAGCAGGAGTTTCGAAAGGTGTTAAGCGCGTTCACGCAGACACCTTTGGAAGTTTTACATACCGAGCCTTAGTACACCCACCACGAGACATTGAACTCTATCGTTGCCGCCTTCATGTCGTAAGGTCATTGGTGAAGTTTCATATCCGTCGCTTTGCTCTCGAAGCCGATCGTATAATATTTCTATTAAATTGCACGTATATACGGGACGATGGTCATAATAAATTAATACGTATCGTAAATTCCCCTTAAATAGATTTCCTAAGCGCTCCCTTTTAAGCGCTAATTGAAATACGTTCATATCTGAAGAATTCCTATCTCGGGTTATTTTTTCACAAAAATGAAATTGAATACCCCAAAGCGAAGGACTCTACACAGGACGTCGAGTACTCGTTGGTAACAGCTCATTCAATTGTCAACGCGAAGAGAGGCGTTCGTCCCTGTGACGCATTGTGGAGTTGGAGGCGATAAAAAAAAAGAACTGAAGGGCCATCGTCTCTCCGAAGAGTCCTAAAACAGAGAGAGAACGATCCGCATTTTCCAAACGACCGTCGTAACCCCATCGCATGGACGACTCCCCATACATGTTCTCCCCCTAACGGATTCTCGATATCGCGAGTTCCTAAGGGTGTCGGGTCACCCGGAGCGAGAGACCCAGGAGGGCGTAATAAAACGGTGGTAAACACAGAGGACGCCACCCGGAGCCAAGAGAGAGGTAGAAAGGTAGAAAGAAAGAGAGAGAGAGAGAGGAAAGTCGAGACTTACCTTACCGCGAGCGAAGCCGAGTCGCCGATAAAGGACGCGGAAACGCAACCAAGGCCAAGGCGGATCGGGTCAGAAGAAAGAACCGGAGCTATTGAAGGTTGAGAAAAATTGTGCGTTTATTATAACGAAAGATGCAGGCGAGAAGATACGTCACCGAGCGACCGGGCACGTATACTTTCGATCCTCCTCGTTCTCCACCTCGTCCTCCGTCGTGTGCGCGCAAAAACGCGGAGAAGCGCGAGGAGGTCCGATCGGCCATCTTGGAGAACCGCGTACCGATGGTTCTCCAAACCGCGGCACGTCGGGGCACATAAAGGCCGATCGGTCGCCCTCGGGCAAAGGAAAAGGGCAGACGGATAGAAAAAGACCCGGATACAGAAAGAGAGACAGAGAAACAGAGCAAGAGATAGAGGAAGAGAGAGAGAAAACGTAACGCCACCACCGAGGTACGCGCGGCTCTCACGATTCGCACCCTGCACCTACGTAGAACGGTACATTTATACGTATGTATGTATATATGTATAATATATATATATATTTATATATTAATTTATTATTTGTTCATCCCGTTACGGCGGTGTATACGTATCTATATCTACAACGGGCAGTAGTCGGCAACGCATTCGGCCGACTGTGCGCGAGTGGGTCTTCGCCGTTCGACGAGTGAGTTTCATCCCCTATCTTTGGTATCGTTCCGAGGACGCGCGCGGAGATTTGCCGGCCCCTGGTCTCGGCAGGCGCCCGGGGAACGCCACCCTCTCGGCTCTCGCTCGGTGCCCGGTCGAGCTCCGAAATCGGCGGACGTCTCGGTCGCAGCGGTCACCGCGAGAGCGAAGCTTCTTAGGCCTTGGCTCGGGCCCACGCGCGGCGTCGCGACGCCAGGGTGCGCCCGAGCGGGGGTGTGCGAGTGTAGGTGTGCGGTCGCGCGGCCGCCCGGCACGGGTGGCCGATTGGGGTGGTTAGTGGCAGTAGCAGCGTCGAGACGCGGAGCGGGGACCGCCCGTCGGCGACGCCACGGTCCGGGGAGCGGCGGATCGTTCGCGCGAGAGCGGGCCCAAGCACGGAGAAGCTTATCACAGAAGACGCGCGTTCGTTCCGCAGACCGGACTGAATCTGCTCCTCCGGCGACCGCCGTCCCCCCGGACGTTCCATCCCGCCGGCGAGGTCGCCCTCGAGGTGACCTGGCCATTGGTAGGAGTCCGGAGCGACGCGGGAAGCCCCGAGGGAGAGAGGCTCGACGGGTGGTCGTCGAGGAGTCCCGCTGGAACGTCGAGGTTCCGGGACGCCTCCTCCGCGGCGACCTCCGGGGACCTCGAGGAGCGGCCCCGGGGGTACTCCCGCGACACCCCGTGGCGTGCCTCCGCGCGTCCCTGTGCTCGTGAGTATGCGTCCATTGTTATATCACGTTTGCAGTTGACGTGGCCCCGACTTGGCATGGAAGAGCGGTTATCCTCGACGAATGCGACGACGCCGGCGTGGCTCCTCCGGGTTGTCGCGCTCCCCTCGACGAGGGCGACGCGTCCCGCGACTCCTCGGGCCCGATCGTTGGATCGAGATCGGGTCGGTCCAGGACTCGGATGGGAGGCTGCGACTCCGCCGATCGACCTCGCCGGTGGCACCCTGTCCGCGATTACGTCGCCGTGGACTTGGCTTTGGACTCTTTGGACTTGGACTTCCCGCTGCCGTGCTCCTGGTCGCCTCCGCTGGGGTTCGACGAGCCGTTCCCTAGCCTCGCGACCTTCCGGTAGATCGGACTGTTCACGAAGCGCGGGTACGAGTCCCGGTGCATCAGCGTGTAGATCTGGAGCTGCGCCTCGTCGAACGTGTGCGGCGTCGGCTGCACCATGTTCTGATTTACGATCTCGCGCACCCTCGAATCCAGGCTCACCTGAGAGAGACAAGAAAGCGTAAGGACGGGCCGTACGGGGTGAATAATAAAACCGCCTTACTTCCTCGTTACTTCGCGCATTCGTGGGAATCCTTTATCACGGGTGAGGTTGACTTTATGCCACGTTGGTCGCGAGGAACGACGGGATTCGATCCGAAGTGCATGCTATCGCTGAAATGCGTGCATCGGATCTTGGGAACGGTGATGCGATTTCTAATGCACACCGTGATACGGGAATAAGGTCGAACCGTCTCGTTTTTCGAAATTCCGTGTTTCGTGGCACTCCAGGACTTGCAGCGGAACCAGGAAGGAAGGTACGGAGAAGTAACTCGGCGTAAAATGACTTGGAAGACGGCGACGAATCGCCCCCGCTTTCGGGAGGTAAGAAACCCTTCTTCTTTTACCCTGGGCGAGACAAATGGCGCAATTTGTTACGCCCTACGGAATTCGGCGGGATATGAAACGTTAACTCGGGACTGCAGACCCCGTGAAAGGACCCGGGGAGATGCGCGATGCTAATATCCCGGGGATGAAAGGCTGGAGCCCTCCCGAGGTGCGCTTTTCCACGGCCCGCGGGGGAACTTACTTCTTTCGACGAGAATATCGATATGTAGACGTCGTAGATGTGGCGGGCCTTCTCCTCGATCCTCTCGGGATCGTTCTCCCTTTTGAGCTGCTCGCAGGCCAGCCAAAAGGCGATATTCTCCTCGCTGAACTCCCGCAGGAGGAACTCCCGGAACAGCTTCCTGCCGGCGGCGCTCTTCATCAGCCGGTCGAAGGACGTGCCCCAGGATCTGATCTCCTCCAGGCTGCAACACTCGGTGCCGCCGTCGAAGCCGTCCAGGCTGTCGAAACCATTCTCCGCACCTGCAATCGCGAGTTCAGTGACGCCACCGTCATCGCCGACACCCCCACGTTCACCGGTACCTCCGAGTCCACCTGAATTTCGGCCGACTGCCGCCAAACTGTGAACAAGAGAACTCGATATTTTAATATCTCGTTAGGAAGGTCCTCGAAATCGTTATCGTACTACTAGTTGCGTACTACACTTGTTGCCTGAACATTTTGTTCGAGTACTCGTACGACCCTTTATTAATTATTTATAACACGGAAGATATAAAAATCAGGATAAGAGAACATACGATCGTATGTCAGTGTCAGAATCTTCATCGTACAAATTTTATTGCTAATAAATATTGGTAGCGTACTACACTTGCTGCCAGAACATTTTGTTCGAGTACTCGTACGACCCTTTATTAATTATTTATAATACGGAAGATATAAAAATCAGAATAAGAGAACATACAATCGTATGTCAGTGTCAGAATCTCCATCGTACAAATTTTATTGCTAATAAATATTGGTAGCGTACTACACTTGCTGCCTGAACATTTTGTTCAAGTACTCGTACGACCCTTTATTAATTATTTATAATACGGAAGATATAAAAATCAGAATAAGAGAACATACGATCGTATGTCGGTGTCAAAATCTCCATCGTACAAATTTTATTGCTAATAAATATCGGAGAACGTAATCTGGACAATATGTAATGTTTTATGCTTCGGGTCAATTATACCCCGTGTTAGGATAAGTAGCTGATTAGTAGATGATTATTAATGTATGAAATTCATGACTGAGAGATTCTTTAAAGTATGGGTTCAAATTCAGAAGCAATATATGTATGAGATGGTTATATGCAATATGCACTATAAATTAAATGCAATGCAATGCTTTTGTATATCTCCGACTGTGCACGTACGAGCAATTTTTTGTGTTGTGCATAGCTTATGTCGTGCATATAGCTTTTTCATTGCCGCAAATTTGCTTGCTATTGGATAGGCAATTGTACGAGTCCATCGTACGTAAAGTTACTCGTAATGCCTGCAGGAATGTATATCAGGGTTCGAAAAATATTTTCTCTATGACACGTCATGAGAATAATTTTCCGCTTCTATCATGGCAATTAATTAATAACGTTTCAGCGTTCTAAACATGTCTCGAGCCGCGTTAAAGTTATGAAAGATGAATATCAGTCGAGCGTTCATTGCTCACCATTTATTCCTGCTTGCAGCATGAAACATAAAAAAGGGATGTATACATACATATTTGCCTATGTGTGCATTAAATACCCAGGTAACGTTTTACGCGTAATAGTTTGCAATCAAATGGAATAATGCTGCCGACCTGGTTCTGCATATGGCAGTTACAAATGATTACCAAGTAAGTATTTTCCCTTCCAACAGGAAGGCAGAACAGACACGCAGTCTCTACCGAGGCGAAGTGCTTTTCCTAGAACACGAGCAAAACGATTGCTCGCAGCGATTGCCATTGATAAAAGGTAAACGCGGCACGCGGAAAAAAAAGGAAAAAAAAAATTATGAAGCGAAAAAAAAAGCAAGCAATCTTGCTAATTGAACGAGACAAGTGGAAAGGTGCATCATTCCCTCCTAAGTGCCGAATCAGAACGCAAAGTCTCTTCTCGAACAGCACTATATCGCTCCTCGGTTACCAATTTCCCCCAGCTACAGTACCTCGTAACCGGGACATATCGCGAAAACAAAATTGTATCTATGTCCAAGATGTTACATCGTATTGCATGCAATTAACACTTAACGCTATCACGGTGGCTAGGGTTCTAGAAATAATTCCCGAGATCAATAATATCCAAGATGCACCTTGGATCGACAGGGAGAATATTTCTCCTAGAAATGCACCCACGATGCAGGTTTCGGGATTTTACTACATCGGCAACTAGGGCAGAATGATTCGACACACGGGCAGGAACGAGCGAAGCACACGAGGCCAGCTGTCAGTAGTACACGTGCGCAGCGAGGCGGCCTAAAAAACGGCGTAAGGCAAACAAAAGTACGAGAATAGATAGGAGCGGTAGTACCACGAGCAACTACAGCAGCAGCACCACCAGAGGCAACAGTTGTCCCTCCTGGACCGCCCCATCAGGCCCGGTCGCTGTTGCTGCTGCTGCTGCTGCTGTTGTTGTTGCTGCTGCTGCTGTTGGGAGGACTGTTGCTGGTTCCCGTGCTGGGAGGCGTTCCCGGAGGTCTGGCTCTGGCCCTGGGCTCTTAGGCGACAACCTCCTGCGACAGCTTCACCGCCGCCAGGCCCGTGACTAACACCGATGCCCATTGCAGTTGCACCGAGTCCACTCGACATCTGCAATCGAAACCAAAATAGTTAGGTGTCCCGGAACGGGAAGCGGTTAGATCTCGCGAATTGGCCAGGAAAAACGGAGTTTCTCCGCCCAGGGGGCGAGGAGGCCTCTCTTTGCGACTTCTCCTCCGGCAAAGTACACCGGGAGAAGACGTCGCTACCTCGGCCGAGTAAATCTCGTTATCATTGCCAAGGGGTTCCTCGAGTGGCGATTTATTGATATTGCGAATTGCGAGAGTAGCGGCACACTTCGGCCTCGCTTGACCCATTTATTGTGTGTACAGGTCGCGACGTTAAGGTGAAGTGAAACCCCCTTCAAATCAGTCGATTCGAATACAACACTTTTTTCTTAAGGGTATTAGACCAAACTGTCCGAAACTTTGACACGTCACTCCTGATCATCTAAGAATTGTCCTGATACATTCAAAATTTGGATCTTTGGAACACATTTTTTAACTCAGTCCAGACCAGAACCAAAATGGCGTCGAGCTCTCATATTTCGATCAATATACAATTATCGAAGGCTCTGATATGAGAATCGAAAGGGTCAGGACAATTTTACGAGAATTTAGAACACTCTGGTAATCGATAAACTCGCATTTGAACGGGATAAAGGCAAAAAAAGTGTTGTACGCGCTTCTTTGCTAAGACGATGGGAATACGAGGTCTCGGAGTGAAAATTTAATTGACCTGGAAATCACAGATGGCGCAGGGGGTCCCTCCGCAGTCAATTAGGGCCCCAGAAGGCACGAATCCAGAGGATTTCTGGAGTTTTACTTCGATTTCTTTATAATTATTGTACGAAAACGACAGGTGGAATATGCCATTTGGTACAATACACAATATAATTCGACCCAGCTCTCAATATAAAAACGAACGTCGGCAACGTAGGCATTTAGAAAAATCTTCTTTATCGACGTTGATCAAGTTCCTCGACGTGTTTCACTTCACCTTAATGCCCGTAAATTTTAGAAATTTATTCAATTTCCCTCGAGTGCCTGGCGGCATAGATCGCGAAAAGCGATCCCCGATAGGCCCGACCGTAATGTCCCTCGCAGACGAGAGGCGGACTCGTTTTTCGGAGTATCGACCTCGACGTTTCGACGTTTCCTGCCACCCATTTCTCGAGCACCGAAGATACCCGAGGAAAAGGGATTTCCTGATGGAGAGAGAATTCAGAGGACTCGGGCACGTATGAAGTAAGCGGCGTGTATGAAATCTGGAGCAAGGGACTCGACGCCATCTTGTCCTCGTGGAGTAACGACTTTTCGACACCTCCTAGGATACTTTGGTATCGTGGCAACCCTTCTTTCATTCTCTCGTTCATTCCATTTGTCTAGCTCCGACGCTTTACTTTGCACCTCCTGTCTTTTCCAAACGATCAGATCCCGACCTGACGTATCAAACCCTCGAGGATGATATCTCTTTCCTGAATTTCTCAACCGACCCTTCGGACAGCCGATCTTCTAAAACGTACCGTAACATCTCCCATAGCGCCTGAAATTGTCAGATGATTTATCCGCATGGGATAATTGTGCCCATAATTATGAAAGTGGTCTAAGTCACATATTTTTTGTTTCGAAATTACATTGCATTAATTTCGTTTGAAATAGTATGGCGTGAAATAACTGATAAACTCATTTTTTTTTAATTTTGACTTAGACCACTTTCATAATTATGGGCACATATATCCGAATTGAATGGACCATCTCCATATACTAGAGCTGAGGATTTCCCGAAAGCGCGGAAAGTTCTGCATTCACCTCGGACGAGGTAGCTTCTAGGGACAATCCGCACCGAGGGGGGAGTAAAATTCCCCGGCGGAAGAGCAACCAGCCCCGTAATTCGGAAGCGTGCTCGATCTAACCGACTTACGGAGAAGCTTGAACTGAAAACTCGTTACAATGACCCAGATCGAGCGGACCTATGTACAAGACCTCCCCAAACGCGAGCTTTCCCGGCCGTGGAGAGAACGGAGAGCGAAAGGGGTGGAATCGGGGATGCAGACGGGAATCGCGGTGAAGGATCTTCGCGTGACACGAAATCCCCTTTCGCATCGAGGCTATCCGTTTTCTGGATCGAATCCGACTCGTCGGCCAGGTCGGGGTGCATCCATTACTGCGCCTGGAGGCCGGGGAAGGGACTATTTGACAAACTCCGGCGCTTTTACCGAATTATGCCCGGGATTGGTGCGTCGGTGCATCCGGCTGCCGTTAAATGCATCGGTGCAACCCAGGCGCTTATCGATTGCGCCTCCACCTAGGAGATCCGTTGAGGCGCGAGCGAAATAAAACTCTTGGCCGCCTTTTTTATTCCGGGCGACACCGGTTTCGCGCGAGCGAACAATAACGTGTGACACGCGTCTATCGATCGGGCTCCAAGTACGAGAGCCAGTATTTTCCAGCATAATCGCACCCTTCAGACACCGACGGCCTGCACGAACCCATACCTCGCCCCCGAGTACGTCGGACACACGAACGCGCGGTTCGTCCAGGCTGCCCTGGTCCTCGTAAACGATTCTCCTTCTGGTTCTTTTTTTTTTTTTTTCACGTGCATACGTACATCCGTATGTTTAAGCCCCTTTTTGTTCTCTCACGGACTATCCCAAAAGAGGGTAGCTATTTCGGTTGGACGTGACGGTAAAGCTTTAAGGTGAAGTGAAACCTCCTTCAAATCAGTCGATTCGAATACAACACTTTTTTTTAAGGGTATCAGGCCAAACTGTCCGAAACATTGACACGTCACTCCTGATCATCTAAGAATTGTCCTGACACATTGAAAATTTGGATTTTTGGAAATAATTTTTTAACTCACCCTCGTAAACGATTCTCCTTCTGGTTTTTTTTTTTTTCACGTGCATACGTACATCCGTATGTTTAAGCCCCTTTTTGTTCTCTCACGGACTATCCCAAAAGAGGCTAGCTATTTCGGTTGGACGTGACGGTAAAGCTTTAAGGTGAAGTGAAACGTCCTTCAAATCAGTCGATTCGAATACAACACTTTTTTTTAAGGTATTAGGCCAAACTGTCCGAAACTTTGACACGTCACTCCTAATCATCTAAGAATTGTCCTGACACATTCAAAATTTGGATCTTTGGAAAACATTTTTTAACTCACCCCAGACCAGAACCAAAATGGCATCGAGCTCTCATATTTCGATCAATATACAATTATAGAAAGGCTCTGATATGAGAACCGAAAGGGTCAGGACAATTTTACGACAATTTAGAACACTCTGGTAATCGATAAACTCGCATTTGAACGGGATAAAGGCAAAAAAAGTGTTGTATGCGCTTCTATGCTAAAACGATGGGAATGCGAGGTCTCGGAGTGAAAATTTAATTGACCTGGAAATCACAGATTTCTGGAGTTTTACTTCGATTTCATTATAATTATTGTACGAAAACCACAGGTGGAGTATGCCATTTGGTACAATACCCAATATAATTCGACACAGCTGTCGATATAAAAACGAACGTCGGCAACGTAGGCGTTTAGAAAAATCTTCTTTATCGACGTCGATCAAGTTCCTCGACGTGTTTCACTTCACCTTAAACGAACGTCCTGCTCCGAGTACGAGACAGGAGTTGTAATTATTCGTAATTTTTGGTACATGTTATTCGAAATGTTTATCGATTTATTTTGGAACGCATGTTATTTTGCTTCGATTGACTTTGTGTTGGATTAAATGGTTGTAGGGGAAATAAGTACAAGATTTTCGAGGTACTTGCATGGAATCTTTTGATACTGGGATTTGTCTTTGTTTTATTGGGATAGCGCATTTTTTTTTTTTTTTTTTTAATGGGGGAAGTTTCGTATTCCTGCGGAGTTGCTAGGTTCAGTGTGGCTCCTTTTGTAGGAGGTCGAGGAAAATTTGTGTCTCTTCGGGTTCCAGGAGTTTTGTAGTCTGGAAGACCGTCTTGTATTTATTGGCGGGAAGACTTATGGCTCGCGATAGTGTCTGGCCGTTAAATGGGTTTACTACTTGGAATAAGGGACTGACTGTTATCACTGACTGGTTCTGAGTTGGATGGTCTTGCGATTCGGATACGCGGGTGGTGGACGAAAGCTAAAAAGCTGTTTTACTTCCTTTGTGGAACTTGCTTTTCCGTTTCGCCGTGCACTTTTTTTACTCAAAAACATCGTGCGATGTTTCGGTAATTATGTCGGAATGAATCCTACTAAAGTTATCATTGATACTTAAACCTCAAAATCTTAATTACGGTTCCTTTTAATTTACCGAAAGCTAACTATTATTTTTCCTACATTTACTAGTTGAGGATCGAGTATCTCGTTTGTCCACGCTCTGGAATACGAAAAGGTGCATCGAAACTGATTTACTCCTTTCGAATTTCTTCTTTACTTTAAATTGGCAAACAAAAAAGAAAAACAAGTTACAGCAACGTCTCGTGCAACAATTCTGTGATTTTACTTTTTATTTCTCCAAGTTGTCTCTCGTATACTTTGCAGTATTCTCTGGCTAGAAGACACGCTCTAACTAGATTTGCGAAAAGAATTTTGTTTTGTTTATGCCGAAAGAAACTCTCTCAAAGTTTCATTGCTTTGTTAAAATCTCTTCTTTGAGACGGACGGAAAAATTGTCCACTGACTGTTCAACACTGTTGCTTTTTAACAAAGAGAACCGGGGGCTGTCGTGTCGTTTTGACGGTGCACCGGAAGCACTTTTTAAATGAAATTTGGACAGAAGTACTTGTCTCCGTTTTCATAAGTTTCGCGTCTCGTTAAAACTTCTCCCGAAATCTCTTTAAGAATTTTTACCACCGACATTTGACAATGCGCTTTCACTATTTCCACTAAGAGTTATTTTAAGTTATAAATATTTTGCATAATAATACATTGCCCAGATATCAAATGAAATCAGCTTGGTATTAATAAAATCAATTATAAAATGATCTGCATGAATATATTCCATGTTCTTGCGATCATACGTTCTAATAATATGGTTTTATATTATACAGATACACTTCACCTCTTCTAATTCAACCGTAATAGAAAAAATATATGACACGTAAAATTGAAGTATCGATTTCTGTTGCCAAATACTGCAAAAGTTATACCGTATCGATTATTGAAAAAAGAAGTATGGTAAGTGCAAAATTACGTTTCACACTTCTTTTCGTTTAATTAGCATCCCCTACGGATCTAAATTACGTAACTATCGGTGAATATCAATTTCCAGGGATGAATTAAAATCAGGGAACCGGAAAATCCGATTAGACCGAAAAGAATCGTAAAAAGAGAAGGGGCTCGTGAATTATCAGACCTTTTTCTTTTTAAGCCGTTTTGCCGTATTTGCCGTTTTGCCGTTCATGCCGGCGAAATAATGACCGGCAATTGCTCCGCCGTTTTGCCGGCAAGAGTGCTCAACCCTACTTTCCACGTACACTGAGAGCACTTACTTCATTCTACGAATCTCGAAAAATTCTATAAATTTCGCAAAAACGTCCTCCTCCTTCCATTCCTCGTGCACGAGAGCACGGGGTAAGCACTTCTCAAGTGCCTGGCACTCTTGCCAGAAAAGAAAAAAAAAACGGCGAAACGATCGCTAAACATCATTTTACCAACATAAACTGTGAAAAATCGCGAATCCCGTGCGATACATTTTCGCAATAATTTTACGTGCATAAAAAATAAGCCCTCTTCATTTTATCATTACGTTAAGAAACTATAAAAAAAAAATTTGGTGCTTTCTGCGGTTCCGCTCCAGTTCGGAATAAAAATAACATAAACTGTGCAAATCTACCCGTACCTGTCTTTTCTCAATCTTTGAGCAGAGGACTACGCTTGTATGGAATTTTGCTAATAGAATTTCATTGTTTAAGGTGAAGTGAAACATCCTTCAAATAAGTCGATTCGAATACAACACTTTTTTTTAAGGGTATTAGGCCAAACTGTCCAAAACTTTGACACATCACTCCTGATCAGCTAAGAATTGTCCTGACACATTCAAAATTGGATCTTTCAAAAAAATTTTTTAACTCGGTCCAGACCAGAATCAAAATGGCGTCGAGCTCTCATATTTTGATCAATATACAATTATCGAAGGCTCTGATATGAGAATCGAAAGGGTCAGGACAATTTTACGACAATTTAGAACACTCTGGTAATCGATAAACTCGCATTTGAACGGGATAAAGGCAAAAAAAGTGTTGTATGCGCTTCTATGCTAAAACGATGGGAATACGAGGTCTCGGAGTGAAAATTTAATTGACCTGGAAATCACAGATGGCGCAGGGGGTCCCTCCGCAGTCAATTAGGGCCCAGAAGGCATGAATCCAGAGGATTTCTGGAGTTTTACTTCGATTTCTTCATAATTATTGTACGAAAGTGACATGTGGAATATGCCATTTGGTACAATACACAATATAATTCGACACAGCTGTCGATATAAAAACGAACGTCGGCAACGTAGGCATTTTGAAAAATCGTCTTTATCGACGTTGATCAAGTTCCTCGGCGTGTTTCACTTCACCTTAATTCCTTTCGAGAAGTGGCATGAAATTCAAGGATTGCGTTACTAGGGCGCTTAACAAGATTCTCTTAAATTTTGTATAAACGCCTTTCTAACCGAGTAAGTCTCCGGCAGGAGAGTACGGTTAAACAAATTTGGAAAACTTTCCTGACTAGGTGCGAAATCGAATCAACGAACCAGACAGATTAGAGAATGGATTCCGGAACAATGTCGCTCCGGATTAAACTCGGGCTTGCCACGCGAAGCGGATGTGTCCGCTCGATCTTAGTAGGGAATACCATTACTCCGATACAGGGAGCTAATCCCACGTACCGAAGAAAAGTACTCCACTTTGAGGCAAGACCGGACCATCGGCCCCGAAATACGCGAAAAGCAGCCTTGGAATTAAATTGGAACTCGTCCACGACATGGACTCGTCGGCTCGATATTGGTATGTAATATTTCCGAACATATCGGCCAAGTCCCTATAGAGACGTAATATCAATTTGGACATACGTCGACTATCTCTCTCTCTCTAAAATCAAACTAACAGCGTCAGGAGGGTCTTTGTATAAATTAACATCTCCCTCGAAGCGGAGGACGTTACTTGGCCTTTCCTATAAATCGAACTTCCAGAACTTGGATATAGCACCGAGTAAACGAACTTTCACTTCAGAGCAATCGGTTAATGTCTCTCGAAGCTGCCAAAATTTCTAGAAAGTGAACTCCGAGATTTTTTAACAGGTTCTGTGGTACAGAAATATAAATTAATTTGATAAACCGTGGTGTATTTGTAAGCCGATCTTGCAGTTTAACAATGATCTCAATGTATGCAAGGGAAGAAATTAATAAACTGCAAGGAAGGGAGTAATCCAACAAACCAAATTATCTCCTTTTCATGTAAAGTACATAAACAGGACATTTTTATCAATCCTGGCTGTTACGACTCGGCACTGCGTACTAATCAATCAACACGACGATAAGACTCATACTTTGCCCGGCGCGCTGCACCAGAATCTGCTTCTAAAGTGTTTTTAATCCACCTTACATTAAAGGTCATATTCCCTAGACCGATCGCGGGAATCTCGCACTTCTAGACCCCAGATAGCTCGAGTTCCCAAGAAGTGCCCAATCGAAAATGAAGTTCAATACATGCAACTTCCACTTTCTCTCGCGATAATCAATAAAGTACTCGCATCTTTTCACACAAAAAGCTGAGATATCGAAAAAGCAACATCTTATCAATTATAACACCTAACCAGCTTCTACATCATTGCATAAACGCCCACCAGCGAAGTATCAACAAAACCCGAAATAATGCAACGGAAAAGTCAATAAATCTGGCGATTCTCATAACCTTAAGTTCAATTTATGAATTAATAAACGGCACCAAGTACCTTGATAAATAAAATTGGGCTGCCCGAGATCCAATTCGCTCGATACCCCTCCGACCTGCCTTAGCTCGCCCATCTCATAGGACGTATCGTAACAAAAGAAGAACCGAATAAATAATTGCCATTACCTTAATCAGGCTCCCGTCCCTCCCCACGAAAGAAAAAAAAAATAAGAAACGAAGAACTGTCCCGCCGTCCACCCCTCTGCAAGAATCGTGTTTACGTCCAGGTCCGATTCGGCTCGAAACCGGAGAGGCCCGCCAGGGCGACAAAGGAGCAAGGCACGGGGGTGTAAATCCCGTAGGAGGGTGAACCCACTTCCGGGGAGAGGAGCAATCCACGGCGTCTCACCTCTATCATGTTCCATACGATCGACGGCGAGTCAAGCTCGCTCAAGCCCGGGCGAAGTCGCTGCACGTCGCTCGTCAGGCTAGCAGGTGGAGGAGCGGGTGCGATGTTTATCCCGACCTCGAGGGTCGACCTGGGGCGCCTGGGCCCGGGGCCACATGCCCTTGGTCCGCGCGGCGACGAGGAGGCGGTGCGGACGAAGTCAGGCTCTCGCGCGGTCCGGGCGGCAGGTGCACCCCTCGGCCCGGGTTATTCCACCCTTGGCGCGCATCCTTCCGCCATCGGCGCCGGGGTGCGCCGGGGGTGCGCCGGGGTCCGGCGGGGAGTCCCGACCGGGGCGAGAGGGGGGCACGGTGGTGCGGGCCCTGCGGGCCCTCTAGCTCAAGGATCGCGGGGCCCGCGAGGGGGAGGGCCCCCCGCGCGGTCGAGCAGCCAGGCCCATCCGAGGGCGAGCCGATCTTCCGGTCCCGGTCTAACCTTAAACGCACCTCGCGAGGAGGACGCCGCGCGCTCTGCCGGTGGTGGAGGTGGTGGTGGAGACGGCGCTGGAGGAGGAGTAAAAATAGTCCCTCGGCCGCGCGGGGTGCGCCGCCGCCGCCGCCGCTCGGTGGTGACAGGCGCGGAGAGAGAGCTCGCGGCGCGCGGCCGAGCCCGGAAGGGAGAGGGGCCGAGGGACCGGGCGCGAGCGTATCGATTGGCAGGAGCCGGGCGGCCGCGGGACGCGGGCGGAGGGGGAGGCGAGCCGAGCTTTCGCGGGCCCACGGCTCCCGCACCCGCGGGAGAGAGAGCTCTCTCCTGGCGGACGCGGCGGCCGCCGCGCTGGCGCCACCTGGGCGGCGGGGCGCGCAACCGCGGGCCGCGACGCACGCCGAGGCTCGCCCGGGCGTCGGTCCCGAGGGCCAGGTCGACTCGCGGCAGCCGCGCCGCGCACTGGGTCCGACGACACCGCCGGAGGTCGCGGTTCCCGAGGGTGGCGAGGCTCCGCGCGCCCCGCGAGGTCCGATGCCGCCGCGCGAAACTCCCAAACTTCGGCCAATATGGCCGTCTCTCTCTCCGGGGATACCCGGCCACCACTGCCGGCTCGCCCACGCCGACGCGGGCGTCGCGGCGCGCCAAGCCGCCGACGTCAGGCGGGACCGCGAGCACGCCTGCGGAGTAAGGCGCGAGGGGGCGCGTGCGCGGCCCGAGCTTGCGCCCGGCGCGACCGTCGCTTCCGGGGTCGAGGTTCGCGGACCGGAAGAGATCGACGACCTCGGTCGGGTTGATCGATCCTTGTTTATTTTCCCGTGGGAGGCACGGCCCTCGGGGCTTGACGAATATTCGCCCTGGAACAAATTGGGACGAATGTCGATCTACGGACCATATGTGGCGCGGAGGCGTGAAAATTTAACGGCGAGCCTCCTCCGAGATCGGGAGGGACCGATCGCGGAAAATCGACTTCGCTTCCGGGGGGAAGAGCGGAAATCGGGAGGAATCGATAACCTCGAAAGGACTTCCTCCGTTTCTTCCTTATTTCGGATTGGATTTGCCTAGGCGATTGGCAAGGCGCGATATGCCCTTTCGAGGACTTATCGAACCCAGAGCCATGGGTTGGAACGAGCTCCCGATATTCATTTTTGAAAATTGCTCCACTCGAAAATTGCGCAGAAATTTTTGCCTCCCTCGCTAGTTGCAGTTTTTAGTCTTTCGCCTCGTCGAGACGCTCGGGGACCGATTTCTCTTTTTAAAATCATGAAATATAGACGTTCAAATAAGGTGCGACCACTTTCTCAATGATTTGGCCGGCTTTACTTGCCTACGGGTTTCGTTCAAATTAATTAACACCTCCGTGACTTTCCGATCAGATTAGTTCGCTCTTGGCCATGTCGGATGACTGCTTACTCGAGCGAAGCTTTTAGTCTGGAAAGAGATTGGCGATATAGATAACGATTACTTATATGACGCTTTATGCAAATTTGAAGACACTAAAGTCCCAAACTCTATCGATGCGTTGCTTGCGATCGTCATCTCGGTAGAATATGTAAATATACATATGTATACCTAGTTGCTTTCTCGATTAAAAATCTCGATACCACGTCGAATTATCGCATCATGGACCACTTCAAATACTGAAACATGTAATATCTACGGAAACGATGTACTCGACAACTAAAATATGCTCTCTCTCTTACTGTATCGTAAAGTAGACCCCCGATGTATCTGAATGCTTTAGTAAAATGGAAAGTAATATTAAAAAAGTTTTAGCGTCGTTAGATGCGGTTTTCAGTATCTGTTGCTTCGACATGGAACCGCTAGTTACGTAAGCATAAGCGTACAGCACGTATGCACTAACAGGTACTGGTACTATTGCAGCTGAAGGTTATAGACTGTACGAGTTCAAAGACTCCGCGAATGGATCAATGAGCATAGAAAGGAGAACTTGAACGTAGCACTATAACGATGTTAAACATATGCCAAGACTCGAGAAAAGGAAACTTACAGCGATCGCGATAAGAGCTTGAACAATTGTTTCCAAGGACGCAAAATCGCAGACCACCGGTTAAAGATCGATTGCGATCGCTCTCCAATTTATATCGGACATGTAATGTCCTCGGATGAGAAATGATCGAAGGCAAAATAACCAAGGACCCCGTAAATTGATAAATTGATCCTTCAATGTACAAAAAATAATTGCTACCACGCTCAGTAACGGGTTTCATTGTCTTTTTTTTTTCTGTTCAATCACGAACATTTTAAATGCGCACAAGAGTATATAAAACGTTTCAAAAATTCGTTCGGTTACTTTTCTCACTTTAGAATCTGTTTTATTATTTTTTTTTAACTATTTTTGACTTTTGAATGTTTACAAGTATCGGCGAATTGTCGACGCCTAGCGGCCAAACGGCGAAACTATTTCAGGCCTAGCATGGACAAGTTTCTAAAGTGTTAGGTCCAGACGATATATATAAATTCAAAACGTTTTTCATTTCTACCTGAGTCGAGCCTAATGAGTAGGAATTTAAAGTTATAACTATAAATATAGCCGTAAGTATAATCGAGGGAGTGGAGTTAAAACGGGGATAGAACACGGTTAAAATAAAAATTCCTAATAGTAGTAAGACGCAAAATTCTAGCGTAATTGAAAATATTTGAATAGGGTAATACTGCCTGGAAACAAGAATAGGATCGACCGACAGTCGTGTGGTACTTTCTACATTTTCTACAGTCATACTAGTAAAATGCGTAAAAATCTACTCAGACAGTCGTAGGTAACAACGAATCGCACTCTAGCAGTCGTAGAATGCAGCAAATCCTACCCTAATAGACATGAGATAGACTAAATCTTCTCCTACAGTGGTACAAATCCTACTTTAATGGCCGTAGGGTATATTGTATCCCTTCCAGTTACAGAATGCAACTCCGGTCTCGTTGATCACATAAGGTAACTCATCCGATACCGACAGAGATAGGATACACCAAATCCTGCCCTGGGAATCATATATAACGTTAAATCTTCCTCTCTTATTTTTCGTTTTTCATTAATCTTCTTTTTTTCCTTTTTTAGGGAACAACTTTTGTGGTTCATCCTAGAGAACGAGCTCTGCTAATCTCTAATACATGATTTACCCAGCAAAGATTGAAAACAGCAAGTATGAACCTTCGATTAGTACTTGAAACAGTCGACAGAGTGCGCTGTATGTATTAGCCGTGGAAGAAAACGTAGATGTCTAGAGTCGGTATAGTAGAACTCGCTACTCGACAGGACAGTATTGAAAAATAAAAATGTAGGAAATTAATAATTCTGACAAATCACTGGATCATTTTTAAATTTAGTTTGTCATTTAATGCTGATCCTAAAAATCCTATGGATATACAGGATTTCTATGAAACTATCCTGTAAATAGGTTTGTACTATCAAATTCAACAATACCCCATATTTCACTACTTGATTAAATAAAATGTATAACCAGCTTATTTTATAGTACCACACGACATATCTCATTTTTAATCATTCCTTAATCAGGTCACAGCTACAGTACCGCGCAAAAATGTATCGTTTCCAAAGCAATTTCTCTTCTCCCACATCCACTAAAGAAAAGGCTCTCCTCTGGGAGGAGAATCTCCATTATTCACTCTGCCTTCAGACCTTTAGTTGCGGTAAATTCTAAGAAGCTGATTTCGAGTAGTCCTTTTGGAATCTCGTCCATTCGCTGCACGCCTGTAAAATGTCGCAGGTAAAATCAAACATTATTTTCACCATTAGTAACGAAGTGTCTGTCTTACACAAAAATATTCTGGTTCCATCCGCATATACGTTGCTCTTGACGAATAATATTAATCCGAGAACATTTAATTTAACGCTCGTTCAAAACGTTCACGATTCGAATTCCGAAATTCCCCCATGCCTCTTAAAGGTAATGGGGGGAAAAATAAGCGTGTTTCCTCTCCAAACTTGTGGAGTTCCTTTTTTGGAATCTCGTCCATTCGCTGCACGCCTGTAAAATGTCGCAGGAAAAATCAAACATTATTTTCACCATTAATAACGAAGTGTCTGTCTTACACAAAAATATCCTCGTTCCATCCGCATATACGTTGCTCTTGACGAATAATATTAATCCGAGGACATTTAATTTAACGCTCGTTTAAAACGTTCACGATTCGAATTCGGAAATTCCCCCATGCCTCTTAAAGGTAATGGGGGGAAAATAAGCGTGTTTCCTCCCCAAACTTGTGGAGTTTCTTTTTTCGAGCTATTTTTAGCTGTGCCCTAATCGTCCCCGCCTGGGAGGCCGGACTCGGGTAGTCTGCGTTCCTTTTTCCCTCGTAGATCCAGGATGCACCCTCTCCCAAGCCGAGGGTTTGCGGCTGGGATGGGAGGGTCATTTAAAGGAAGACAGAGCTCGTTAGCAGCGCACCATACAGGCAAACATAGAGACATCGAGTCGCAAGGCAGAGAAACTTGTGGAACACCCTTCCTCGAACAGCAACCGTCCCGTCCTCTACCGCCATCTCCACAAGCCGAAGGAACTACAAGTCCAAGCAGCGCAAGGAACATGTACCCAAGGAGAAGACACCACAATCTTGTACCAGTAAGCCGCCTTAATTCCAGGGCGGACTCTTAGTCGGGTA